TAGGTTTGATGGCTCTCATCCATAAATTAACAATCATTTGACAATAATTTCTTTAACCTGGTCAACTATTTAGTTATTGTTTATATCAAACGTCGAGTTTGACTATGAACAAGGCGATTTATTGCCGTAACCACGTGTTACGTGCAACCAAGAGGTGATAAGAAATATCTCTTATTCCCTTCTTGTTGATACTAACGTCTATAGAATAACTGTTAAACAAATAGAGATGATTTCTCTTATTGATATTTTAACATTCTCCGTTTTTTTCTTATTCGAGGAGAGCGTCTTGGTCATTGACCGTAGAAGTCCCCCTTTTCTCTTTTACTAGGAAAATTCCTAGATTTATACTGATCTAAAACAGAAAAAGGGTTTCGGACCTTCACATTTGTGAACCACATAACCTGAGTCTGTAAATCAATGAGGTATTTGTGGGGAGAACTGTGCATCTTTTATTGAAAATGTACTCCTGCATAGTAGCTTCATAGCTATCTATTCCTGTTTATGATTACAATGTCTCTAGATTTGTCAGTCTTGAGTAGCATCATAGCATTGACACTAAATCACTCTTGCTATACTTAACATTTTTCTAAAAGGTCCTTTCCTGTTTCTCAATTCCTAAGTTCCTATTTCAATGCAGTCCTCCATCTAAAATAGTCCTTTCTCATATTACATAGTCTCTCTATGACATGCTCTATATCTGGTAAAAAATACTCAGATATAAATAAGTGGAAGAGGCTTACATAAGACCAAATCTCATGGCCTCTTTCAAACTCAGAGAAGAGAAATATCCCATCATACTTGGGAAGATCAATAAATAAGTTCTACTGGTCTGGTATAATAACAAGAATTTATTTATAAGAACATGACATACACAGAATGACAGCTTCATCTGTCCTCTACTTTCAACATAACCACCTTATGCATCCCAACATCTCTGTAAGTGTTCCAGTATCTCAAATCCCCTTCAAAGATCATGTCCAGAGCACACAAAATATGCCACACCTTGTTCTGAACATAACTGTCACTCTGAAAACACTTCGCTTGCAGTTTCTTCTTCAGTGTAGGAAACAAGTAAAAATCACTTGATGCTAGGTCAGGACTTGTAAGGTGTATGTTACAATTGTTCCCAAGCTAGTTGAAAAAAATATTCTTATGGGCTGTGGCTGTTTACAGGTATTAACTATTGTCCAGCAAAATGACACTCATGATGTCTGTTTTTAATATTAAATTATTGTCACATTTTATTTCAAGTTTTTTTTTATCAAAGCACTTACAAAATTGTTTTGATAAAAAATTCATTATTTTTTAGTTAAATATTATATATTAATAATATAATATTATATTATATTATTATAAAGTAAAATAAAATAACATAAATGCTAGAAATTTAACTTTTATTTAGATATTTTGAAATTCAGTTTTTAAAAAATTAAAAACTGACTTTAAAAATATCTAAATAATTGCATTGGCTAAAAGATTTTTAAAGTTTTACTTACTTTTGTAGTTAATTTCTGCAGTAAACTGAACAACTTTTTTACATAACCATTTGATGTTGGTATATTCATTAAATTCAGACAAAACTTTCCTAATGTTGTTATATTTTGTTGATAATATACTGAAGATATTAAGTTGAAAAGAAGATATTCTGCAGATAATTTATCACCAAGTAAAATGTGTGTAAAACATCTAACTAAATCATGCCTTAATCTTCTTGCTTGTGAAAATATTTCCATTGCTGTTGAAAAATAAACACTTTAATCACATTATATTGAAAAAATACTTTAATTATAAATATAAAAACAATAAATATTTATATATATATATAATTCACAGCAGTTATAAGGCATTGTATTGCTAATGTCAAAGTAACTGTCATCTAGTATCAAATGTATGATATGTTGTAGATATTCTCATCCCATTGGCTACGACCAATGAAAAATCAGAAATGTTACTCCTTATGGGTTGAGTGGTAATAATTGTGGAAGAACAGTGATAGAAAATAATAAAAATTTTTTTAAAATAATTTCATAATATAAAGAATCATAGCAACCTTAATAATGTATTTTGTAGTCAATGATTGTCAAGTATGTTTAGAATAAATCATAGTAAAGCATACAATAAAACTTATTTTGAACTAAGAAATTTTGAAATTATAAATTTAATAATTATAATTAAATTAATAGTGACCTCAGTTATACAACTCTAAAAGGACTAATGAAAAAAGTCATACAAATGAGAGAGTTGTATAAAAGAGAGATTGACCAACTTGAATAAAAAATGTTAAAAATATAACTGTTATGACATTACCACTTGTTCTATCTAAACATATAGCCAGCAGCCATTCTCTATCTAAAAACAGATATGTACAGTATGATAATCCTCTCTGCTTTCTTATCTACCTAGGCACCTGTTTGACTTAGGGCAAAGTGACACCATTCTGTTCTGGTGATTGTCAATCACAACAGTAAAGTGAGGGAAAAATACATTAGTCTGAAACATTTGTAGTGATGTAGAACTGAGAGTGTCTAAATGACTCTCTCAGTTCTACATTGAGAGTCATTCAAATGAGAGATTTTAGACATTATCTCCAACAGGCTTCATCCAGGATAAGTGATAAATGTCTCATAACTGAGAGAGTTGCTGAAATGAGAGGTGTATAAGTGAGAGGTCACTGTATTTTAATAATTAATTTAGAAGGTTCTGGGAAAAAAGAATTGGCCCAAAGCAAGACTTGAACCTGCAATACCACTTACCAAGTGGTCACATTTCTAGTTATGCTACCAAGACCTCCATCCAATCTTTGCTTCTAGAACTATTAATTTAGATATAACCATACACTGTGAGTGACAAGTATGGTTACATCTAAATTAATACTTCTGGATGCAAAGATCAGACAGAGATATGGGTAGCAAAACTGACAATGCAACTATACAATAAGCAGAAGTGGGTTTGAGTCCCACTTCAGACCAATTCTTTTCTTCCAGAACCTTCTCAATTAATTATTAAAATATTAATTTATTATTATTAAATTTATCAAGAGATGGCACCCAGCACTTATCTTTAGGCCAAAATATTTAACATTTAACTATTAATAGTAGCATTAATATAGTCCAATATAATCCAGCAATCATTTGGCTTTGATTACATTGTTATAAATATGTTAAAAACTTCAAAAGTATAGTAGTGCAATTGGCATTTACCATTGATAAAAAAATTAATATACTTTGATACTTTGATCCAGTTTTACATGAAGTATCATATATATATATATATATATTAATATTTCTGGATTTTTGTGCTCTTTATTAAATTATTTCTTTTCTCTTCAAAACAACAAAGAAATGAAGTGAAATAAAGAATTTTGAATAATTAATTATTATTGTTTTACAAAACAAAATTTTGCGTTTTGAAAACAATAATATTTAAAGTAAATTTGAAATCAAAATCTAACACATTTTTTGGGAGCTAAAAGTTTTAAATTTGTTTAGTTTTTTCATTTTTAAAGTAGAAGTTATGAGTACAAATAATATTTATTTCATCAAGAGTCATCAACTTTATTTTAAATGTATTATTTCTAAAGAAAAATTAATTAAAAATATACTTTACCTAATCTATTTTCCAAGTTGACATTAATAGGAAGGTAAGGATTATTATGCAGAAATGGTTTAATCCTAATTGCATGAATTTTTGGTAATGATGATACTGACTGAACCTGAGAACTCATTTCTATATCTTCATCCATCTCATTAAAATTACTATAAAGTTAAAATTTTATTACTGAAATTTGAACTTATCAAAAATTTAGTTAGCATTATTTAATTTAAATAAAATTATTTTCTACGAAAATTTAATATTATCAATCAATAACTCTCCAATACAGGCAGCCTTTGGTTTATGCTGGCTCAATTTACACTGACTCACAATAACGCTGCTGTGCAATTTGCCATTTTATGGTGTAATTCCCTGATTTTCCCTATGCCAGACTGATTTTCGTTTCAGTGTTGATGTATTTACTGAATCATGACATTGTACATTCGTTAAAACAAACATTTTTATTGAATATATTTAAAAATTTCCTATGTAAATTAATACTGTGTTATAAATTTACAGANTGCATTAAATTAATATTAAAATTCTAAACGTTCCACGAGTCAAGTTATTAAACTTAATAGTCCAATAAATGTTCGAATCCAGAGTGCTAATGAATGCGAATAGTTCATATCTCGTATCAGTTTGTTCAGGAAAACACCTTACGATGCAGTAGCACTTCCAGCGATCACAAATTACCATTAGTGAGACAAAATCTACTTCTCGTTGGCTGGTTGGTTGATTGGTTTTTATTGGCACAAGAGCCATGCAGGCTATACTGCACCATGACACATAATACAATTTGTAATATAAAATAAATAGGAAAATACATATATACATATAAACAAAATATAACAGTTTAACCATTAAAAAGCCAATGGTAATATAAATATAAAATCTAAAATATAATAAATAAATAACTCATTAGTTAAATTTCTTTGTAAATATTAACAACTTTAAAAAAGTTTAAAACCTTCTCAAGACTTGGCCTATGACCCAAAATTGTTGACAAACTTCCATTCCCGAATTGATTTGTGCGAGCTCTGCAAATTCAGGGCATTCGCACAGTGTGCGTTTAACACTTAAAGTATAATTGCAATACCTACATACTGGATAATCATCACTGTTCAAAAGGTGTTGATGAGTAAACCGAGTAAGTCTAATCCTCAGACGAGTAAGGATAACCTCAGATCTCCTCTTGTAACCTTCGTTGCAAGTCCAATTTTCAATTAGTGGCTTGATCTCATGTAGTTTATTGTGGACTTGTGAATTCCACATGTTTTGCCATCTTTCTGCTAGTCGTTTTTTAACAGCTAGCTTCAAATCACCTCCTTCAATACGCATTGTATGGTGTGAAGGACTTGCTGACTTAGCAGCTGTGTCAGCTTCTTCATTTCCTCTTATATCTACGTGGCCTGGGACCCAAAAATACTTTACGGAGGAGTTACACATAGTAAAATGACAAATTAGTTTCCAAATTTTAATCACTATAGAGTGAAAACTAGGTTCACGTGAGATCAAAGCCTGGAGTGCACTAATTGAGTCAGTGTAAATCACGCAGTGATGATGACCTTTTCTGATTACATACTTTAAGGCTAGGTGAATAGCCTGCAGCTCTGCAGTGAAGATGGATGCATTCGGAACAATTTGTTCTGCCATGATTTCATCCTGGAAAACAACGGCTGAGCCAACATAATCATCCGATTTAGAACTGTCAGTATAAATAGGAATTAGATTCCTGTCTTGGTGTTGAATTTCTGCAAAGTGCTGTATGTAGACATAGTCTGGAGTAAATTCCTTAAGAAACTGCTTTAAACTAAAGTCAGCATTTATCACAGGAGTTGACCAAGGTAATATACTATTAACCTCAACCTGTGAGATGTTGCTTGTGTCCAGGTCAACCGTGCTGTTTACATTCTCCATTGTTATGACGATTGTAGGGACACTACTTGTCCGAGTGGCAAATAATCTTTTCAGGTGTGTATCTGAATGATCAGCTGTAAGTTTATTCTAAGATTTTTGTTTAATGTAATAAAAAAGAGACAACTATTCTCTCCTGAGAGATAGTGGAGTCTCATAAGCATCCACGTACAACTTTTGGACAGGAGAAGTTTGAAATGCACTAGTACACAAACGTAGTGCTTGATGGTGGATTGGATCCAGCATCCGAAGAGTAGATTCTCGCGCAGAGCCATACACAATGCATCTGTAATCCAGCTTAGAGAAAACAAGGGCCCTATAAATCCTGAGCATAGAACATTTGTCTGCTCTCCAGGATGAGCAGCCAGTACCTTTAAAAGGTTCAAAGATTTTAAACATCTACATTTCATGTTGCACAAATCTTGTAAGAAAGTCAGTTTTTGGTCAAATATAACACCTAAAAACTTAGCCTCCTTGACCATTGGATTGGGTTTTTATCCCCATTTAGGTAAATTTCCGTATCCAGGTGCAAACCATGCCTTCGGCAAAAGTGGATGCACGAGGTCTTCTCTGTGTTAAAACTAAAACCATTGGTCTTGGACCAATTGTCTATGCAATTTAGGGAGGTTAGCAGTTGTCTCTCAATAAAACTCATGTTACTAGACTGGCAGGAGATCTGAAAGTCATCCACATACAGAGAGTGTTTCACACTAGGAGGAAGACAGTCAGCTATGCTGTTAATTTTAATTAGGAACAGAGTCACACTCAAAATACAACCTTGAGGAACACCTTCTTGTGTGAAAAGTCTAGGTAAAGTGTTGCCCATCCTGACTTGGAATCTTCGATTCTGTAGGAAGTTTTTTATAAAAATTGGCAAATTACCCCCCAATCCGAATTGGTGCAGATCACAAAGTATCCCGTATCGCCAACAGCGATCATAGGCCTTCTCTATATCAAAAAACACATACACTAAGTGCTGTCGTCTAACAAATACTTCGCATATAGATGTTTCAAGATTTACTAAGTTATCCGTGGTACTTCTGTTTCTACGAAAACTACTCTGTTGTGGTGAGAAGTATTCCTTTTTCTCTAAGAGATACATCAGACGTCTGTTTACCATTCTCTCGAAGAGTTTACACAGGCAACTTGTAAGAGAGATTGGTCTGTAATTAGAGGGATTCTTGGTGGTCTTTACCAGATTTTGGAATGGGGATAATAATTGATAGTCTCCAAGAGTCAGGAAAAGTATGTTCTGTCCAAATTCTGTTAAACAGATTCAGGAGATTACAATGGGAATTGTTTGACAGATTTTTAATCGTGTTGTAGTGGATTTTATCTGGTCCTACAGCAGTATTCCGAGCGAGAAATCACTGTTTGTAATTCGATTCTGGGACCAGACAATATCTAACTCTCCTTAGCGAGATGAAACGAACTTCAATTTTTCCACCCAAACTGAACTACAGCGGTTGGAGTCAACCAATCAGCATCTCCGCTTGTCTGTAGCTCTATTTCGGGTTAGCGTATCCTTTCAACTAGGCCTATTTTCAACTATGGAAAGTTTGATGGATGAACTTTGTGAGTTAGACCAATGTTTTTCAACATTCTTGAATAAGTGATCCCTTTACAAGTTAAATAATTTTGGCAACCCCCAGAGCCATATTAAAACTATGTCAGTGATTTTAAAAGCTACTTATTTAAGTTTCTTTCTGTTGAGACCTAAATATTGATCAAAAAGCCAATTGTACTGTAAAATAAACAGGCACAGCCTTCTCACTGAGATTGTAGGTTTTTTTATTGTAATGTAGGACCTACAAACACTTGTCTTTTTCTTTTACCCGCAATCCCCATGTAAGGCTTTGCGAACCCCCGGGGGTCACGACCCACAGGTTGAAAAACACTGAGTTAGACAACAATTGGGAGCGAAGTGCAAATGTAAAAAGGAGCATCATCCTGTTCATTTGACCATATTCCAAAATTATTAATGAAAGAAAACAAAAATCTAAACAATTACAAATGGATACTTTTTTCCAAAAAATGTAAGAGATCCGAAACTTTGAAATATCATTTGTTTTTCTTAAGAGTTTTTAATAAAAACATTTCATTTTATTTTATCATAAAATACATTTTTAAAAATTAAATTTATAATATATGTATTTTGTATTATATTGTATTAATAAACAAAATTATTTGCTTATTTTTCACTTATGTAGAACCTAACCCTATATCTCACTGTAAATATGGGTTCATTTTGTACCGATTCGATTTGCGCCAACTTTCGTAGGAACAGAACTGTGGCGTAAACTGAGGGCTACCTGTACTGGAATATATTATCAAACACAGACAAAACACCTAAACCAGAATTTTGTCTGTGTTTAATTAATATTACAGTACAATTTTAACATATTTCCATTAATACAAATTTGCTTTAAAAAAATAATTAGTTAAATGAAAAATCAATACTAAAGTTTCATTGATATAGTATTCAATATGATGTTGAGAAATAAAAAAACACTAATGCAATAATATCAAATTATATCAAAATTTAAAGGTATTTCTAACAGTTGATATTTTAATGCATTCAGTGTATTATTATTTTAAAATTTTGTATTATTGCATTAGCTTTTATTTTTATTATAAAATGCATCAAATATATTTTGAAATATATATCACACTTATTTAATTTATATATTCTATGCATATAATGTAATAAAGTTACATTAGTCTAATAGGGGAAAAAGTGAAATCTACTCTGCACAAGGCATTAATATCGATAAGGTTGTAAATAGAAAGTGTTAGTTGTTAAATTTAGTTATTCATTAAATTTTGATTTATCTTAATTACTCATAGTGTCTATTACTCAAGTATCGTCTATGTCTTACCGACGACCCCCTCTTACCCCACATGACCTGACAAGCTGATCCCGAAACATGGGAAACATGCAAATTAATAAACACGCCATCCACTGAGCTACGGGCAGTTATTACCTAACTGTTGCCAGTAAAAAGGTAAGCCATCGCCCTGTTTCCCTGTTGCTCACACTAACTTTTGCATTGTATTTTATAATTTCTCCTTTAATTGTACCATTGTTAACCTTCCTAAATATTTTTGTTCTTCCATTATTTTAAAGTAAGCTATCCTTCGAACAAGCCTTGTTTACAACTGCATTGATACGCACAACACCTATGTCACATGATCATTTTTTCACCTATTGACTCACTTTGACAGGAAGTAATTTTAAATCAATGCATAATTAAAATATAACTCTATGGAGTTATATTTTATATGCAAAAAGTTAAAGATCTAAAGTAAGATTATTCTTTTTGAGTTAATATAATTCATTGGTTCATATGATTCTGACAGTGAAGTGAGTGATATTTACCCATTCATTTCACTGTCACTATATATTTTTTTGTTTTAAATCTTACCTTTTTGATTCAGATGTATCTAGTATTCCAATACATTCAATGACTTCAGTTACTTTAAAATTTTCTGCAGTATCATAAAGTTTAATTATACATGCAATTTCATCATTTTCTAGATGAGGAATATTTGAATCTGAGAGACCATTTGCAGCAGAACTTGGCAATTCTTCTATATATCAATAAAAAAAATAAATTCAATATTGAAATAATTTTATACTATTAATAAAAATTTTAAGAAAATTTTATCTAATGATGAATGTCTCTCCTCAAAACATTAAATTATGAAGAAAAATTGAAACTTAAATCAATATAGAAACAAATTCATATTCCCAATTTCCCAAACAGAATAATAAATTAAAAATTTTGTCTAGATAAAGGAAGAAATACATATGTAAAATATTTTTATATATATCTAAATCTTACCAGTTATATTTCCTGTTCTGTCAGTATCTAATCGTTTTCTTTTTACTTGTATTTCAAATTCATCCATTTCTTCAACAATTTCTTTACAAGCGCTGGTATCATTTGGTGAAGTTAATTTTGAATAATGACAAAATCCCTTTCACATTTAAGGATAATTTAACTTCAGAATTTTATATTTTTTATAACATATATCTAATTAACTTGCTGATATTTACATACTATGAAAATATTAACTGAAGATCAACTTTTTTGTAAATCATATCTTGCTTTTACAATCATTAAAATATCATTTTCTTAAACTACATTTATAATAACTAAGAAAATTTACAATTTCTCTATTTTTAATACAATAATTTATTGAGATTCAAATTTAAAAATTAGTAAATAATTATATAAAAATTATTTTTTTTAAATTTGAAAGGAAAAAAAAAAAAAAAAAAAAAAAAATGGAATGGGATTACTCTTAAGGGGGAAGACATTTTTAAAAATCTCTCTCTCTCTTNGGTCATTCAAATGGAAAAATACAGTCGACTCCCTATAACGTGGGTTCATATAATGTGGATTCATATATCGTGGCAAAAAAATTGCAACCATATTCACATAAAGACACTAAAAGAGACTCGTAAAATGTGGTAAAACTTCATCGCCAACTCATATCGTGACGGGATTGGTCGAATCTGGACCAATAGTGGGCGAGCAGCCAAACTACTTACACGCTACGGAGAGTTTAGGTGGGTAAGTCGAGTTTACTATCGTCTGTACAGTATATAAATTAGGTACTGTAAGTCTAATACAGTACTGTAATTTTATACATTTCTTGTGAAAGAGACATTTCTTATTCAACTGCCATAAAAATTATTTCTATTAATGATGTCTCCAAAGTTCAACGAATTATGAAAGTTCAAAGAAAAATAACTTATCAGAAAACGCGTCCACTGTTTGGTGCGCTGCTCCACAACGAAAACAAGCTTAAGCAATGGCGTTATTGAATGGTGCACACTCGGTAAGTAATCTTACAATTTCTTATTTATAGCATAGTTTATATGGATTATTCCCAAAAAATTATATGTGTTTTGGAAATGTTGAGTCAAATTAGTCCAGAATTGATTAATTTTATGGAAGAAAACCTTTCAAACAGCCATAGTCCGTAAACTGCACACATGCCGGGCTGTGATTGGCTCATGTATTTAAGGATTCCTACAACGTAAAATTCTTATAAGGTGGAACATATCTATTGCATTATAGGGGGGGTTGACTGTAACCATTAATGTATTATTAAAGGTGAGAATTTTAATTATCTCAAAAGTAATCAAAAAAGTAACTTACTATATCTAAATATAGTCTTGATTATATATATATATATATATAAATTTTGAATGAAGAACAAACAACAACAAATATCTTTTTATATACATTAGATTGTATATATTAAGTAATAATGTATATAGATTTATTTAAAAATAAATGAGTTCAAGAATTGTTTTAAGCATTTAAGCATAAATAAATAATGATTAAATATAGCTTAAAAAGATACATCCTTAACCCAAGCATTCTCACCAGGAACAGAAATACAATGATATGTCAACCGTTCTGAATTAATATTTCTTGGTGACTGGACAATTATTTCTTCTGTTTGCTGAAAAACAAAAATAAGAAATGATAAATATTTTAGATGTATTAAAAAAATAATGTGCCATTAGCACATTATTTTTTTAATTAATTTATTGTAAAGTTTAAAAATTTAAAAGCATTTTCCCCTTGACAATTTTCTAAAATTTAGAAATTTTTTATAATAATAATCAGAACTGTATAAATTTAGTTATTACTTTTCAGAAAACACTGTTCATTTGGAATATCAAATTAAATAAAATTATTTTGCAGAAAATTAATCTTAATAATTCAACATATATCTTTCTTCAAACAATACTGGTATTTTTCAAAAAAGAAAAACATATATAAAAATTAAATTTAAAACAATGAGATCAGTTGTATACAGTAGACCCCCTATAACACGGGTTCATATAATACAGATTCATATAACACGGTGAAAAAATTGTGATCGCATTCGTATAAACACGCTAAAAAAGACTTGTATAATACAGTAAAACGTCATCGCTGACTCATGTCGCGACAGGATAGGTCGAATCTAGACCAACAGCTAATATTGCACAAACCGTTGAGTTTAAATGAGCAGCGAACCTACTAAAAACCAATTATTATTTAATGGCCATAAAAATGATATTTATATTAATTATGTCTCCAAAGTTCAATAGGGCAAAAAGTGAAATCTACTCTGCACAAGTTAAATTTAGTTATTCATTAAATATTGATTTATCTTAATTACTCATACAGTGAAGCAAAATAAAAATCACTCGCTTCACTGTATGAGCGCAAATTTTTTGCAAATAGCAAATTTTTTGCAGAAAAATAACTTATCAGAAAACACGCGCCAGATGTTCAATGTGCCGCTCCGCGACAAAAACAAGCTTAAGCAATGGCATCGTCGAACGGTGCACACTCAGTAAGTAATCTTACAATTTTTTTGTTTATAGCATAGTTTATATGTATTATTTCCAAAAAATTATACATGTTTTGGAAATGTTGAGTCAAAATTAGTCTAGAATCAATTAATTTTATGGAAGAAAACCTTTCAAACAGCCGTAGTCCGTAAACTGCATACATGATGGGCTGTGATTGGTTCATGTATTTAAGTAACTTGTAAAACACAGAATTCATATAAAACGGAATGTATCTACCGTGTTATAGGAAGGTCTACTGTATATTCTATTCCGACTTCCAAGAGATTTACGACAAAGACTTACAATCAACAAACTTGTATCAATCAAAAAATTTCTTGACTGTTACTTGAAATAAATCAAGAAATTGTTTATTTTTTGATTTACAACAAAGACTTACTAACAATCAAGAAATAAACATTTATTTCTTGATTGTTAGTAACTTTTTNTTTTCTTCCTATCCTAACTTCTTCTTTCCTTCTTCCAACAGGGCATAAGTCCGCCGCTATTTGTGGACAGCCCTCTAACCCCTTTCAACAAAAAAAAAAAAAAAAAAACCTTTAACATGCAGCTTATTTTGCAACAATACCAAACATTTTCAGTCAGCTTCACTGACCTTCTTCAGGCTCAAACAAAAAAGATTAATTCAAACTGAAAATTCTTTTGCCAAACAGTTTGAATTAAACTTTTTTGTTCAAGCCCGAAGAAGGTCAGTGAAGCTGACCGAAAACATTCGGTATTGTAGCAAAATAAGCTGCATGTTAAAGGTTTTTTGGAGTATTTCTGATGTATTGCAGTAAGTGCAGTTGGAGGTATAGCAGATATAGTAATTTATTAAATTTTAAATCCTATTTATGAGTTTAAAAAGTTTAATGTAATGACTTATTAAGTAAACTTATATATTATAATTAATAGTGTATTTAAATATTCATTTTAAACAAGACAATATTAAATAATTAATAGATTAATTATTGGAATTTTTGAAGAATTTATCCATTCAATACATTGTCTTATTATTTATGATTTAATTTACTTTGCATTTATTTATTATATGTAAAATGCTAATGCTGTAATAATCAGTTGAAAATTTGATGTGATTCAATTACATAAAATAGTATTCAAATGTGCATTTTTTGATTATCTTTAAATAAACAACATATAGCAATTTCAATTTAACAATATATTCTTCATAAAAAGATACTTATTAAATATTTGAGTAAAGAGATATATTGTATACTTTATTTATTTAACTATGCTTGATATATCATATCCTTTTATGGAAGAAATATACAGTGATACCCCAAACTTACGCGATAGGTGGGACTGAGCAATAACCGCGTAAGTTGAATTCACGTAACCCGGGTATAATTTCTCAATTTGTGTAAAATCCAAGTCGGATGCATGTAAGCTAATAAATGTTCTCATTAATCTTATCTCATCTTTTGATTCGTTCACGGTTACAAGAAATCACCACAGAGAGTCTCTCAAGTCTCCGTAGATATAACAAACACAAAAATAAATAACACAAAATAAATTGTAACTATGTGTTGATTCCGTGCGACACGTCCTAACATGTAAGCTGAACAATAGTGTGGGGGGAGTGAGTAATCAAGAGTTGCGTGGCGCTCAAACAAAAGACGAATCAACGAGATTTGAAAATCGCATAACTCCGGGTTCGCATAAGTCGAGGTATTACTGTACAGTATTATGTTTAATTAGATTTTAAATTTTCAGATTTATTTTTCATATATGATAATCAATTTAATCCCCAATTTTAAATAAATGGTCATGACAAATCAACAATAATAGATCATTTCCAATATTAATTATTGGTGTATCTCTAATATATAATTTTATTCATTTTGTTTATTGTTTGAATTATTTTAATTATGAGGACACAAAAAGCCAACATCACAAAGCAAATTTATTCAACTTCTTATAATGTTTTCTAACAACAAAAAAAGAGAAAAAAAATTACCTCACAACTCAATAAATCTTTATAAAGTCCACATCTTAAAATATTTTGACCTGTACTTATATTTTTAACTTCATAGGTATTGAAATAGAATTCAGGATCAAACATATCTTGAATCATACATCTGAATCTCACTAAAGTATTTGGTTTCAAATGTTTGAGAGATACGTCATTCAAAGATGGAATCTAAATATAATTTAAGTCACTTTTATTTCATTATTAAAATATTTAAAAATGAAATTTTATATAAAAAAATTTTTTATCTTACAAATTTATTAGAGTCTTCTCTGTCTAAGAATCTTGCAAAATACTTAACTACAGTATTATGACAATCATTTTTTTCTTCCTCTGGAAAAAAGAAAAATATACATATACTAACACTGTATAATTTTGCTTGTTTTTATTTCTGATAAACTATAAACTATAGATTATAATAAAGTTTTAATTATAAAGTTGAAAATTAAATTAATGAATTCAACTTCATAACTAAATTAAGAAAATTATGACTTCAATTTATTGTAAATTAATTAAATTAATGCATTCATTCTTATTAACAACAAGAAGTCATAAAATTGATAAAATTTATATTACATTTTAATAATTTTACATGTTTTAATATTTATAGTTATGATATAAATCTAACATAGTAGAATACTATTTTGTATTTATTTGGATTTTTCAATGTAATCAGATTAAAAGTTGAAATAACTGCATCAAATTATATATACTGTATAGCATTTATATTGAATATATGCATATGCAGAATGTTTTATACAACTTGAACCAACTATCATCACAAAACCCAATATATTACGTATGTTTCTATATTCAACGGTTGACTCAACAGTGATTTTTCCGTTGAGTCCCTCCGTTGAACGATCTGACATCACGTTTTGCAAGAAAAAAGAAACGCTTTCATTGAGAGGTCACTTTTCAAGATGGCTGACTTAAGTAACAAGAAGGTGGCGAGATTGTGTCTGTTTTGCTAAACAATTAAAGTAACCATTATTCAAATAAATCGTTTTATTCAAATGAACCCATATCTGTATCATTTTCTTGTATACTGGGTCTTTCTTTAATAATTTTAATTAATTTCTTGAATATATATCATTAGAAAGATTTAGAGGGCCAAATATCGGTCGTAATCAATTTTGGACAAATGAAAAAAATCTTAATATTTCAATATTGACCAAATTATCCAACATAATCGTGCAATCACGTTTTATCATATACTGTACATGTTCATTAATCTGTCCTCTATTACAGCATCCACAGCAGCGAATAGATAGTTTCTATAAGCGAAATTTACTTTTTCATGGAAGCCGCCATCTTAGTTTGTTGAATACTCAACAGTCTTTCAGGTCATCGAGACCGTTGAGCTCAACGGTGAAACAACAATGACGTCACTAGTCTCAATGGAGAACTCAACGGTCCATTTAGAAACGTTGTTCTCTCACCGTTGAGTCATCCGTTGAATATAGAAATGTATGGATTATAAAGCTACCCACCAACCAATACCGAATACTATTGGGCTAGAACAGCTATAATAGAATGACAATTTGGCACTAGAATGGTGCCTAATGCCTAACTCTAGTGCCAAATTGTCATATATATTATTAATATTATAGCTGTTCTAGCCCAATAATATTCAACATTGGTTGATGGGTAGCTTCGAACCAACTGTTATAAATGTAGACAAAAATTCAACTTTGTAAATTTGTTTTAATTAATAAAACAAGGCATTACAAATAGTACTTAGTTGTTTACTTAAATACAAAATGTATCTCTTTCATATTTAAAAAGATTAATTATAAAAACATGATATAAACCAAGAATCTGTTCAGAAATAAACAAACTATTTATTAAAACACTAATTTCACAAACACCTTACTTTTTGCCGAACTTAAAATTGTTTTATTTTTACTAATGTTTTCAACCTATTAATATAGGCTATCAAGGCTTAACAATATAGATGTTCCAAAATAAAACATACCATTTTTCAAATATTTTAAATTTTAAAATAAAGTAAGAGAATTGTGTATATTAAAAATAAATAAACAAATAAAACAGATTAAACAAAGCTAACTAGAAAGAAACATGATTTAGAGGTTTTTAATAAAGCCCATTCCTTTTTCTATTATATNACATAAATAATATTTAAACAATAAATTTTAAAATAAAGTAAGAGAATTGTGTATATTAAAAATAAATAAACAAATAAAACAGATTAAACAAAGCTAACTAGAAAGAAACATGATTTAGAGGTTTTTAATAAGGCCCATTCCTTTTTCTATTATATATTTCCACACTGTTGGAAGTGCATTAGCATCCCTAGCATTTAGGCAACTGTTTTTCATTTTACTTTTGTAAATTTTCACCTTTTCCATCTCAAATGCAATGGATGGAGGAGAGTGCACCATTTTAATAACTTGCCTCTTCCCATTTTTACAACAGCTCCTTTGGTCTGCACCATAATTGCTAATGTTGTGTTGCTGTGTCCTTTGTCAACGTTGTATTTATGTTCCCGCAGACGTATTGCCAGGTTTCTTCTAGTCACAACCACATAATCTTTTTTGATTCAAAAGCTGTACTCATTTCCATTTTTTGGATATTGATATAAGATTTAAACAAGGAGATATACACACAGGTGTGTATTTAAAACCCATGCATGCTCCTCTCTACATACCATCTTGGTCCAACAACCCATATAAATATAAATTATCAGCTTTTTAAACCACTCATTAGAAGAGCATTTTTATAGTGTTCCAATGTGCTATTAAGAGATTAATAGAATTAAAGGGGTTGCAACAACTTTGTGTTACAAAACCACCACAATTGAAGGACTTATCAAAGGGTACAGAGAAAATAAAGACAAAAATGATACTAACTCAGAAGGAATTAACAAATTCACATACAATAGGCATTTAGGAAGTATGGTTAATGAATTAGTTTCTTATAAAAACTTGAGAATGGTCTATAAAAGAGCATCCAATATATATATAGCTTACTATGTTCTATGGAAAGATAAAGACAACATAAAAAAGAAGAGAAAGCTGGGGGATATAAAATACCATTTGAAAACTAACAATTAGGAATCAAAAAAGATTACGTGGGTGTGACTAGAAGAAACTTGACGGTACATCTGCGGGAACATAAATACAACATTGACAAAGGACACAGCAGCACAACATTAGCAATTATGGTGCAGACCAAAGGAGCTGTTGTAAAATGGGAAGAGGCAAAAGTTATTAAAATGGTGCACTCTCCTCCATCCATTGCATTTGAGATGGAAAAGGTGAAAATCTACAAAAGTAAAATAAAAAACAGTTGCCTAAATGCTAGGGATGCTAATGCACTTCCAACAGCGTGGAAATACATAATAGAAAAAGGAACAGGCCTTAAAAATCCTTAAATCATGTTTATTTCTAGTTAGCTTTGTTTAATTAGTTTTATTTTTAATATACACACTTCTTTTAATTTATTTTAAAATTAAATTACAGTATTTTAAAATTTAAAATATTCGAAAAACGGTAAGTTTTATTTTGGAACATCTATATTGTTAAGCCTGACTATGGCCTACATTAATTGGTTGAAAACGTTATTAAAAATAAGAATTTTAAGCTTAGTAAAAAGTAAGGTGTTTGTGAAATTAGTGTGAATTATTTGTCGAGAAAGCGGTGGATATTTATTAAAAATATATATATTAAAAAAAGTCAAGTACATATTTTAAATGAAACTACATTTAAATATTAAATCTTTCTTTTTATATAAAACTTTTATGAATTACCAAATATTTTCTGTACAATTTCTAAAGGATTATTGATCCAATCATCAACACCAGGCATTTTATATATGTATGTATAAAATCTTAATTTGTTGCACTTAATTAATAAATGAAGGGAAATTATATCCCACGCGTACTACAAGAGAATTGGCGCCAAATATTAAAGGTTAAGATAGAATCACGTGACAAAAATTACAACTGTTTCGTATTCCAGATTATGATATCAATTTATTATTTATAATATTATGGGTATTATTAATATATTTTATTAATATTGTTAGTTTATAAAATTCGAAATTTTAAAATAGATATAATAAAACATGAGTTTAAATTTTGATAAGTTTTTTTAACTTTTAGAAAAATCGGGTTAAATTTTAAATGAAATAAGCAATATTTATAAAATGTATAAATTTAAATATTAATTTAAAAATTTTTTAAATAGTTGAGGAATTTAAATGAATGCATTTCCAGAGAATGCCTATTAAAAAAAGTCAATGGCGGCCGAATGGCCGAGCGGTCAAGGTGGCAGCCTACCGCTTTGGGGGACCCGGAATCGAATCCGGACGAATCAAGAAATCTCCAGGAATCTTTCGGGGTGGTCCATTCGGATATGTCGGGTCCCGTCTCTCACCATCCGGCCATCCCATTGTGGGCCTGGCCGAACCAAATGAGCTTGCCAAAAGAGGCTCTCTTAATGCCTACAGGGCGGAGAGTTAAAAAAAATATATATATATATACAGGTATATACAATGATACGAAAAATATATAAGTACATGTCTCGGTTCAGTAGATTTTTAGCAATTTCTACTCAGTTATTGAATTTATAAACTTCTCCAAAAAAGAAAGTAATCTACAGGTGTCATTGAGTAGATGGTAAATAGCTTATATTTTAAATTTTAAAGTAATACTGAAATTCAAACATTGCAGGCGATCGATTATGTCGAAGGACATTCGCATTCCACATAATGCAACATTATAAAATTTGAAAATCGTTAGCTTTAATTCGTTTTTTAAATTTCTTTTCGTTTGTGCACTAAGATCATTCTTATTATTATCCATTATTAGTTTAGCGGGTCCACGGGAAAGCAGTCAAATGGTGTGGGACGGATGGCCAAAAAGTAAATCGGTCTACAGTTCTGGCGTGCCCGGGTTCGTACTTCGATTAATTCAGAAATTTTCACGGGTGGTTTGACCTAGATATGTTGGCCTCTGACCAATCGCCTTCAATATGACGTTGGTAGACGTCCGGTTTTCTAGTACAGTATTTTGTTCTCCGCTCCACTGACTTTAATTTATCTTCCTGTTCGGAGTCTGATAAAAAAAAAAGTAACTATACAGTATCTGAAAAATTTCTTTAAAAATTGCAATAAAAGTTGAGATAAAGCTATAAAAAATCTACTAAAGGACGTTGAATTTAAGGCAAGATCTCTCGCCGAAAGCATAAGAGAATTGGATTGGATTGGTTATGTACGGCAACGCTACACGTGAGCGATCTCCGAGGACTGTCTCCCGAAAAACTATCTGTAGAAAACTGCCCATCTAGGTGTTACAAACGTGAAGAAGCCTGGAAAACTCCATATGGAAAGTCCGTTGACCAGGCGCGAATCTAGTCCAACTATCAGTGTTCAGTGGTTACGTCCAGTCAGGGCCGGCCCGATGGGGGTGCGAGCGCACAAGGCCCGTGCGCTGACTGATTTTCCAAAATCAAAACAGTTTCATTTGATTTAGCAGATCTGTACTGAAGTATTGTCACATTGCAGAGAGTGTCGAATTGTCCAGAATGATTCTGGACGATTCGGCATTCTCTGCCATGTGACAGTACTTCGGATTCTGGTAGATGTCTTGGTAAACAATGGCGTTCATGGTGTTAGGCACCAAGTTTGTGCCAGCAAAAACAGCTCTCATCATCAATGATATTTTGCCACATCGTACTACGGAACAACAGTCACGACTGAACCGTTCTTCAGGTAAGCGCCAAACCCAAATTCGTCTATCTGATTAATAAAGTGTGTATCTTTACTCCACGTGATTTTCTCCCAGTTGTCTGTAGTCCAGGAACATCATTATTTACACTATTGCAGTTATTGTGTTAGATTGCGAGATTTGGGGCTTGTGGGTAGCGCATCTGTCCTGATAATTATAGCTGTGCAACTCCCATTGGAGAGTTTTGTCACTGATCCAGAGCCGGCCCTACCATAGGGCAAACGGAGCAGCCGCTCCAGGCGCTAAGTCCTTGGGGGCGCCTCAGTGGTAAAGAAAATTAAAGGGTATAAATTAAGGCTGGTATACACGGTAAGGAAATCCTTTGAGGATTAACCGTGATTTTTTTTTCTATCTATCCATTTTTAAATAAAAATAATTATTTATACGTTGGGAGATATTTTAATAAGTTTTGTAAATTACTATGTTCGATCCAGCCAGTTATATCCGAGTTTTTTTCGTCTGTTAAGCACATCCTTTGAGGATTTCCTTACCGTGTATACCAGCCTTTAGGGGCAACCAAGGGGGGCGCCATAATAGGATCCCGCTCCATCCTAAAACTTGCCTCGGGCCGGCACTGCACTGATCACTCACTATATGTGTACTTGCTTAAAGTTTTTTGGCAATGTCAGCCGCGTCTGACATGCGCTTTTCATTCACAATTCACACTAATGCGATCAGTAAGTGTCCGAGGTCGTCCACCTCGATGGTCAGGTCCACATGCGCCAGTTTCTTTCCATTGGCGAATAACGTCTGATATAGTGTATTTTGGAATTCCAGATACCTGGCATTCAATAATCATTCCGCGATAAGTCGATGAGCTCCTTTTCAAATGGCATTTTCGGCAAATACTAATGTCCAGAAGTGTGCGAAGTCATTTGCATAACTTTACACACTTCTCCATTTGACCACAATGACCACAGCAGCTTCGTCTGATCACAACACAAGCAGGAAAAACTTTTTGCGGCCTTCAGTCACTTGTCCCTTTTTATCAATGTGTCCGAATACTTTTGTCTCCCAGTGTGTGTGTGTGTGTGTGTGTTTATATATATGTTCGGACACATTGATAAAAAGGGACAAGTGGCTGAATATATAAAACACGTAACAACGAATTTTCTATTGCAAAATGCCATTCATATTCTGCAATGGAAAATTCATCAACGTATTAAAGATTAAAACATGAAATAGAGTCTTAAAACTAATAAAAATTATTACAATAAGATACAATATCAAAGTTAAAATATTTCGGTAACAAAATTGAACAGTTGATCAATATTCAACTGTTCATACAGTTATGAAATACAACTATGAAATCTCTACAGCACATCATAAAATTGATATATTATACAACAGTAATTATGTACAGTACAATGATGGATGGTGTCAAACTTCTACGAAGTTGGTCTCCTATTGTTTTTAATTAAATATTATAACAATATTCTTGGCGATGCTATTTGGCGATGCTATTCTTGGGACGAGATTATGTCTCGGAGAGATTAATCTAATATCCAAATATTTATTTATGATTGAAGAAAGAAAGCAAATTGGAAAACGCATTGTTTTCGATCGAAAATATTATATAGGCCTATAATTCTAACAAAATATTGAGATGCATTTTCTACCCGGAAATTTATAGATGTAAATACTCTTAGTTTTCCTGTTAAAGTGATCTTAATGTTCTTTGAATTCGAAAGAAGTTTTAATGAATAAAGAATTGTATGTAACCTTGATAAAATTTATTGTGCAATAATAATCTATATACGAGCTTTTCATCGCGTCATAAGTGACGTTAACGATGAGTAAGCTTTATTTATAAAATATTTTTATATTTAAATCACTACAGAATAATCTAAAAATATACGACAATTATTATTGTTAAATAATTATGAATATTTTCTGGTCTAAAATCTTTATCAGATATTATTTAGGCCAAAATATTAAACGTAGGAATAAAGTAGAAGACTCATTAAAATAATAATAATAAGGAACAAATAAAGGGAATAATTTACTTCGAAAAATAATAAATTCGTAATTGGACTGCAATTTGAAAAAATTGTAGACCTAGGAAGGACACACACAGACGAACCCTCTGTTGCCTGTCTGTCCTTCCTTAGAGAACGAAGTTAAATAGCTGAAAGATGAAACCAAATATGGAAAGCCTTAAGGATAGGAGGACCGATTAAATATATATACAAACTGCCTATGCAAATCGAAAGCCACGTTATTTTAATTCAAAAATTTTTCCCAGATAGGAGTTAGATAAATGACAGGCACAACTGTATTGCTAACGGGAAAAGTGTGATGTACTGTACAGGGACAGGGGCAAGACTACTAATTTTTGGCGGAAAGCATATATTTTAAATTAAATAAATTAAAAATTGCAACCCGGCATTATGACGATGCTACAATAAATAATTCCTTAATTAATGAGATTGATTGAAAATACCTGTTACGTAATTTTGGGTGGATATATGCAATAGCGTTACTCACACCAAAATTACGTGACGCAAGTAACGTTACAAGAATGGAATGGTAGTCGAAAAGTACAAAAATAGAGTTATGTAATTTACGGACGATCCTTACATGCCTTCGAGTTAGGTTTTCTGAATCTATTATCTCTTCTGACATTACTTTTTTTATTCTTTATACACTTGAAATTGCATAAATTAATTTTTATAAACTTTACAATAAAAATTTCTTTCTATCTTTCTTTCATTGGTTTATATAAGGACTACAGCCACACAATAAAAATTTTGTAATACATATTGGCTTCTATACAGTTCCAGACCCAAGGTTACAAACCCCTTATCCTCCTTCACGTCAGCCTTGATAATCTAAGCTTTTACGCATTGTAGATTAGATTGTTTTTGTTTAGTTTAGATGTTTAGATTAGATTTTTTTTAGTGTTTAATTAAAATGACAAACTTGAAAACAGTAATTATTGTGGATTCCATTAACTAATTGTAGAATCTATTGTGTAGTTGTAAAACCCATAAAATTTTGTGTATTTTGCAAGTTTCATATATTAAAAAATGGGCATATTTTGGCAAAATACACTTCTCTAATGATAAACATTAACATGTTTAGATGTAATCAATAAAATTCAGCCCTACAGAATGTTAAAAGTTCTGTTTTCTTTTTGACTTTTTTCTTTCTTTTGTCACTTTCCACCCCATGTGCACTGAGATTTCTTTTAGCAAGATCATTGTGGATTCAGCCAGATTTACACTAAGCGGTGGGGTAGTGAGGGACAGGGCCCGATATATCTGGACAGACCGTTTCCCCGAAAAATTCCTGGGGTTTTCGACACACTCAGATTTATTTCAGGGTTCTCCTACAGCGGTTAAACGCTCGGTCATCCGGTTATTCTGTTTTGACTTATACGAACATATATATTAAAAGCATTTAAAATATTATAACTCAATATTATATTGAAAACTTTAATTTATTTTAAGACTTTCCAACTAATTCTTAACCGCAGAGACCACAATGCATAATGCAAAGTTTTGAATGATTTCATCATTCGTTTCAATACTGTGACGTCCATTGTATTCGTTATTTTCTGTATATCTGTATACAATAGAATATTATGAACAATGGGAAATTCCGCCAGATGTTCTAAAATCCGAGAAAATCCTCTAGATACTGTAACAGTATTTGCATTGCTTATATTTCTTAGAGACTATTATCACTGTGATATTGCTAATATGGATGGGATTACGAGTAATTATCTAAGACTCAGAACGCACAATAAAATATAAAAATTATTGTCTTAGTTAATCTTTATCTAAGTTTAAAGCGAAATGAAAATTGTTTATATTATGTGAAATCATTTATAAACTTTAGTTTTGTCTATTAAATTTTTACACACTTCTTTTTATTTATAACAGTACAACCCGATTTTATAAAATATATTCTTTAGTGGCCAGTGTCATCAGATCAGAAATGTACTGTTTTTATTTATTATTTTTACCTTTTCAGAATGAAGAGCGATCTATGCAAAAAGAAACAGAATAAAAAAGAATCAGGAGTTAGATCCAGTGTAGGATCCAAAAGAACATGAAGGGAAGAGCTAACTCAAAAATTAAAAATATTTAAATAATTATAAGTACAGTACCTTTTATTAACATGTGTAAGACTGTTGTATTGCGGATGGTTTGATAAACCATATTTGCCATCCAATTTTTTTTTTTTTTTTTTTAAGAACAACGTTTTGAGATTTGAACAAATAAATTTTATTTTATTTTTTAAGCAATGGGGAAGGCTTAAGTTCCTGGAGCCCCCGGATAGACCGAATGTTGAGAATATTCCTCTAATCGACTTTTGAGATTATACGGGTTGTAAAGAAATCCTGCTATTACAAAGAATAAAATATATTTATTCATTTGGAGTGAATTTTTTAAAGTAACTTTTCCGGAGAACATAGCATAGATAAATTTAGAACACATAATGTTTGTTAAGTTATGGCACGCGATCTGTCTAGGATGCCTTCAGGGAAATCTTTTTAAAGGAAACTGGCCCCGATTTAGGTTTTACAGACGTGGAGAAACCCCGGAAAAACTCTACGTGGCCAGCCCGTCCGAGTGAGGCGCGAACCCATGACCAAAATCCCAGTGTTCAGGGTACGAAAACCGTTTCGCCACTGGTGGGATAGAATACATATACTCTCCGACATCGCTAGCAGACATTATTGGTTGAAGTTTTATTTTGCTTCTATAAAAATTAGAAATCTAATTTATTCTAGAATAAGATATTCCCACTTGTGGCCGAGTGTATAACACTACTGGACACTGGTAGTTGCTTATGGGTACTCCCCTCACTAAGGACCGGCCAGGCGGAGTTTTCCGAATTTTCTTCTGAATGTATAACATCTGGCCAGTTTTCTGTAGAAAGATCCCCCGGAAAACATCTCTCTTGGCAGATCATCTACGTGTTCCGTTGTCTTATACCATTAATATAATGCAATTCAAAATAAAACATTCGAAACACAATTATCTTTCGAACGAGATATTCAGAATTACATTTAGCCGTTTGAGGCAAAGAAATCAACCCCCGAAAATCGGTAATTCTGATTCCTGTATATGTAGTCAGTCAGTGAGAGTTTTACTTTTACTGCGGACTCACTGCCAAGATTCCCGATGTATATATATGTATGTAGTTTATATGTCATCATCATCGTCATCACCATCAGCTTCAGCTTATTATACCATTTCAAATTATGGTGTAGCCTCCCTTACATAATCGTCCGTCATTTTTGCCCACGTTTGCCTATCGTTTGCTTTTCTCCACCATGTTGTGCCTGCTTGTAGTCCCATCTTAAGTATGGACGTCCTTTGGGTCTCTTGATTCCCGGTGGATACCACATTGTGATTCTCGTGGACCATCTGTTGTCAGTCATTGCCATTTGAGAGATTTAATTCTGTGGATCACATCAATTAGCTAGGTTCTTTGTCTAATCCACTCTATTCTTTTGTGATCTCTCTTGGTTATCTCTAGCATGCATCGCTCCATTGACCTTTGAGCAACTTGGAGTTTCGCTGTTATTTCTTTCTTTAGTGTCCAAGTTTTACATCCGTAAGTCATGACTGGTAGTACGCATTGATCGAATGTTCTTTTCTTCGGGTGGATTCTCATTTTAGACCTGAAGATTTCAGAATTTCGTTCGAATGTAGACCATGCTAGTTTGATCCTCCTGTTGATTTCTGATATCGATGGAGAAATTTTTCAATAAAATTTCTTGATCTGATTATTAATTTACTTTCTATTTCTGAAATAAAATAATTTTAAGATTGACTTTTTAAAAAAAATTTCACTAAAATATTCAACAAAAGCTAAAGAATTAATAAAATTTACCTTTTCCCTAATATCCCTAATTTTTAACGAAATTTCCAACCAAATAGGAAATTTCCACAAATTATCGTAAATGACTGGAAGAAATATTCTGTATTAATTAAATATAATTTATTTATATTAAGCATTTATATGTTTATAAAAATTAAATAATCTTATTGCTAACATAATATTTAATTTAAATATTAAAATCCCTAATATTTTTTTTTAATGCCGGTGTCCAAAATGGCGGCCTTTATTGAAGTTGGTATATGTATTTTGGAGACGATTTTTTAAATTTCGTAATTAAAATGGAATTATTTCGAGATTTTTCGATATATTTTACGAAATAAGATTTATTTGGGAAAAAAAAAGGTGAGGTTTATAACTTTTTTTTTTTTTATTTTTATTTGGGAAAAAAAAAGGTGAGGTTTATAACAAAATTTAAATCATTATCAACAAATTTTTCATTCATTGTTTGAAAAATAATTTATTTTTATAGTCAACGTAGAGGGGACCCACGTTCTAACCTAACCTACGTAGGTAAAGTTTGACCATTTTTATATTATATACTTTAAAAAATGATAAATATTTTGTAATAATTTTTCTCTTACATTGCTTTATTACTTCAGTTATTAAGACTTTTAAGTTTTATTAAATTTAACAAAATATGTATTAGAATATGTTTTGAAATTATATGATTACATTTATTAATTAATAAACTTTAATCAATACTCAGATTCTTTGATATTGTATATCAAACACACCTTATTACTGAGAGACTTTGTTTATTACATTGAACAAACGTTTTCAACCCACTCATCAGGTTATTGATACTACACGAACCTTTACACTAGTTCGTTTACAATTGTTCTTAATTCAAATTCCTTAGTGTTTCAACAAGAACAATTGTAAACGAATTAGTGTAAACGTTCGTGTAGCATCAATAACCGGTTAATGTATGGTGACTAAAATGGCCACGCTTCCGACTGTTCGTGCTCCCGACAGACCTTCTGGAGGGGAGCCGCTGGCAGACCGCTGAGTGTTTAACGTCACTAGTTATTGATTCACGGTAGTTCTTGAACAAAGTAAAAAAAAAAAAAGGAAACATCTAATAAAAATGTAGTTAATCTAACCGAAACAAAACAAACCTAACCTAAGCACTGCCATTTTAGTCACCATAGGTAACATTAACCCAATAACCTGATGATGACCCATTGAGTGGGTTGAAAACATTTGTTCAACGTAATATATAGTCTCTGAGTAATAAGGTGTGTTTGATATATAATATTAATTAATAATTAGTATTTCTGTAGGGTAAAAGGTATTTTTACCCTATAGACCTCACCATAGGATAAAAGGTACTTTTAAGTAATATGTAACACATGTACTACACAAGTCACTGAAAAGGTACTGATTCTTTTCATATATAAAATTTAAATTAGTATTACTACAAAAGATTAAAAGTAAGTGTAAAAGATAGAAATATTTAAAAATGAAAGATATGTTAACAAATAATTGATTATTGATATTAAATTAACAGATTTTTTCACTTTTTTCTATCAGTACATAATAGCTTTAGGTAGTATATGTGGCTCAATTCAACCTCTGAATGATACATTTGGGACCTTAACATGTTCACAGCATTACGAGGCACATGTGACTCGTATGGACATGTCTAGTTAGGGCGACAGACATAATTGCTAGTTTTTCCGTGGGGCGGTGCATATGTTTTGATTACATAATTCTACAAACCTCATACTTAATATATTGATATTATTTTATTAGGTGCAATAAAATATATTAATTTAATAGTATGAGGCACAGGTAACTTGTGCCGCCCTGTATTAAAATAGACTATGAGTCACCTGTGACTTATAACGTCCAACAGCTGCCTAAACGTTTATCTACTGATGCCATGAACATGTTAACAGAGCTGTAGAACATACTTCTAGGAACAAAAAAGTCAAAGGAACCATACCTCTATGAGCAACTCTTCACAAGATATTTATTTTCAAAGGTCAGTTTTTAACATGTACCAGTATAATGTGTAATCTCCATGCTCCTTGTTGGTCAAAGTGAGGAATAGCGAGCCTTAATCGATGCTCCACATGTATGCAATAGTCTTAGTGGAGCAATGCAACTTGTGATCATGTGTGACCTGGAAGTAGGCTGATTTAGGGGGGGCTGTATCTTGCAAACAGTCACATATAGAAGTATAGTTCATTTCTTTGACTTTTTTGCTTCTATGGGTTTGTCTACAGCTTTGATAAGATTTCAACCATCTCATTCACAGGTGTAATTGTACAGTACCTGGTATTTTGTGAAGGATTACTCTTGAATTAGGGTTCCTTCTTTGTTTTTTGTTTTACTTATAGGTTGACCTATAATCCTAACAGGGTGTCAGTAGTGCCTGCAAAGTAAAAATCTCTTTTACTATATTAATGATATGATTTAAAAACCAATTTTTATAATGAAAAATTCATATTTATAATTATTCATTTTTCAACGTTACACTATCTGGAACTGTGACCGGTGCTCTATGCGTATATATTGTATATCACTGACAAACATTTTTTAGCGATATGTTCGCTCTTCTTCAGGTCGACTGAAAATTCCCTGGACAGAATGTATATTATTTGTTGGGATCGGGTGTCAGTTCTGACTGGGTGGGTAGCTTTTGGCATGCGCGGTTGTGTGGTGGGGTAGGAAACGGCAGGTTGGCGTCTAACAGCGATTGCCAGGCCAGAGACAGGGTTAGCTCTTCCTTCCGGTTAACGCAGGTGGTTAGCTGGCCGGCGTTGTAGATAGCCGCTGCCTCCAACCACCTGAGATGCTGTTGGTGTGGCGTGTTGATGATGATAGTAGCCTTCTCGAGTTGCGCTTCGATTTCGGGATCCGACGCATATGTGGCCAGGGCTGTGGTTAGCCTCCCGTGTCGGATATCCGTTTGGTGTTCACGCAGGCAGATGTACAAGGAGCGTTTGGTCGAGCCAATGTATAGTAGGTTCGCGTTTTGTCCGTTGTCCCGGAGTGGGATAGAGTAGATTCTGGGGAGTCTGGTATGATTGGGAGGGTCTTTATCGTTCCGTACAATACGGAAAATTGTGGGGCATCTTCTGTATGCCAATCGTATCCCGTGCTCTCTGGCTATCTTCTTATGCACAGTCTTGAGGTGCGGGTTGAATGTGATGGGGACCCGTGTTGGGCTATCTTGCTGCGGGTCGGCGGCATTTGTTGCGGTTAGGGAGTGTTTCTGGCGTTGGTATCGTTCAACCAAGCGGCGTGTCATGTTCGGAAACCCGTGCTCAGTTGCTATCCTTTTGATGCGGGCTAATTCGTTTGTTAGGGCTTGCTTGGTGGATGAGTGTGAAAATGCTCTCTCCACCAGAGCCCTAAAGGCTGCTGCCTTGTACGGGAACGGGTCACAAGAATCAGCTGTTATGTACGTAGGGGTGGATGAGGGCTTGTGATATACGGCTGTGTGGATGGTGGGTCCTACTATNAAAAAACATCTTATTTTACATAATTTTACACTAAAAGTATTTGTGGGAGAGTTATATCAAATCTTAAATTGTAATACATATTATAACATGCAACTAAACAAAACTTTGTATAAATGTACTCACTATTGTTTTCTCCTCCAAAAAGAAATGTCCGGCATGAAAGAAGAGGCCTAACTAAAACCAGTCCAGCTGATTTCAGATACCCCCACCACCCGCTTCAAACATCTAAATACGAACACACTTGTAGGATGCGTAAACATGAAAGCAAGCAACTATTTAAAAAATACGTACACATATAATTATTTTTTAAAAATTAAATTCATGCACGGATAATCCGCAAACCAGATAATCCACACACGGATAATTGGGAGTTTATTGTATTTTATAGTTTGATGCATTATATATAGTATTTTTTTTGTGTGTTATTTTGTACAATAAAGAAATGATACAATATTTTATATAATTGTATATAAAATTATATATAAAATAAAGTATTGTATTTAGTTTGTCTTATTCCTTAGAATAGATTCACTAGCACAATAAACTATAAAATTTCACAGGAAACTTTTTAATCACAAATGTTTTCAATCTTGCTTAAAGACCATCTTTAGGCTACATACATTTGAACTACCAAACTGCTTAACAGTTTTCAGTAGAACATAATTTATTAAAAAATTTGAATCAAATTTAAAGTTAAAATATTACAAAAGTAGAACATTTTAAATTTACACCATTTACAAAATAACCAATGAATAAATTAAATATAAAATAAATAAATAAATAAATACATATAAATTTATACAAATAAATACACATATAGAACATATCAATACCAGCACACTTGAAATTTAAAAATATTTACTAATGTTTTCATTCATTTATAACAGACATCTTCAAGTATATAATGCAGAACAAAATGGCTGTGTCAAAATCAAATGTGTTTTTACAAATGATTTACAAGTTCAGTTTAAAATTTTTTCTGGAACAAAGTATGTCTACAGTTTAAAATTATTTTTCATATACATTATGAAATGATTTAAAATTATTTCTCGAATGAAATACATATGTAGTTTTAAAATATTTTTGAATAACTTACAAAATGCATTTAAATTATTTCCTATAAAAAAATTACATATTTAGTTTGAGATAAATTTTGTTCTTTTTACAAAAAAAAATATATTTCTTGAGACTATACATACAGGATGAGTCAATTTTATTTGGTCTCTTCAGACACTGTTGAGGTCATAATAATTCCATGGTGGAGTTGACCTTTTATTGTATGCTACTCGTCTGCCATCCAATTAAAAAATTTTTTAAAATGTATTTATTAATTTTATTATTGTGCTACCACTAGAGGACTATTTTAACTTTTTTTGTATTGGATGGTGGATAAAAGGTAGACTCTACCGTGGAATTGTTATTACATCAACAGCATGTGAAGGGACCAAATGAAATTGACTCATCCTGTATATATAGACTCAAGAAATATATTCTTTTGTAAAAGTAAATTTGTCCTGGCAATTTTTTAAAATAAATTTTTTTGTTATAACCTACAAAAGGAGATGTATATGAGAAAGCTTTATAAAAGTTTAAAGAATGTGCACCATATTGTAGAGAGTGTGTCTGCTTCTATGAAATTAATTCCTACTCCATTCTTAAGTGCCCTATAGATTTTAATTAACTCCAAGTATTTAAGGTGTCTTCTTCTTCTGCCTGTGCCTTCTTCTAGGGGAGGTTGGCAGCCAGCAAATACCACGAATCTCTATTGTGAGTCTTATGAATAATTTCTTTAGTATCTAGTTCTGTCCAGTCCTTAAGGTCATCCATCCAGCCTCGTCTTCTTCTTCCCATTGATCTTCTTCCCTCAATCTTTCCTTCTAATATGAGTTTGGGGATTCCATATTTTTCTCCCCTCAATATGTGCCCACAGTATGCTGGTTTTCTCTCTTTATTATTTTTATTAATTCTCTTTTAGTATCTGTCATCTGTAAGGCCGAGACTCCATTAGTGTAAAAATGGGAGTAAAAACCCTTGCCGTAAAAGCTTTTAATCACGTGACCATGATATTTTACGTCTGAGCAGGTCGTAAAACCAGCGTAAAAGCGAGTTGAGCAGTTTTCAACTTTCAACACGAATACAGCCATAAAACGGTACCATCCACCAATCAGAAGTCAGTGAAATCTAGGTAATTGTGATACGGTGCGAAAATGGCGGAAAATGTGCTTTTGTGTACATTCTCTCACAGCTACTCTAGAATAGATCTGGAAAGATTTATCAAAAACATCTGAAAGTATTCATGTATCTATGACAAGAGGTATCCCGATTATAATAATGGATGACTAAAACACGCGATATGGACGGCCAAAGGAAAATCTTTCAATTTAGAGGAGTATATAATAAAAAGCTAAGCTTATATTATTTTAATAATACGATAATAAAAGTTAATATATGAAAGTAAAGATATTATTTTTACTACATTTGTAATTATAGTACAGAAAAAACTCATAGAATATAATCATTGTCTTTATATTGATATATCACATATACAACCATCTTCCGTTTCCACCAATTCACGCATGAAGAAGTATTTACAAAACATTCGACACTTGGGGCAGCATCGTCGCTGTAAAAACTTCGCTAGCTGGACCTCCACTGCAATCCAGATGCAAATGCAAATAGGTCACGTGATTAAAAGTTTTTACGGCCAAGGTTTTTATGCCAGTTTTTATGCTAGTGGAGTCTCCGGCTAACACCCTGTCATTAGTGGTTCTGCTAGGCCACTTGATCTTCAACATTCTTCTGATTGCCCAAATCTCAAAGGCCTCAATTTTCCTCTCCATATCTTTTCATAGTGTCCATGCCTTACATCCATAAAGCAAAATGGGCCAAATGTAGCATTTTAGCATTTTTAGTCTTAATTGTAGATTTTGTTTCTTTTCACACAGAATGTTTTTTATCTGGTTAAACTTGTGTTTAGCTGTCCAATTTGCTTCAGATTTCCTTTGATACATTATTGTCTGAATAAAATCTTTTCCCCAAATAACAAACTATCTACTTGTTCAAGGTTCTCCCCTCTGCATTTCATCTTTATTGTGTACTTAACTTTACTTATGCACATTGTCTTAGTTTACTTTGTATTTACTGTGAGTCCCATTTCTTCACTTTTTGATACTAGTTCATTTAACAGTATTTGTAGATTTTTTTCTGTTGTAGCGAGAATGACTGTGTCATCTGCATATCTGAGATTATTAATGCTTATCCTGTTAATCTTTACACCTTCTGTTCTATCTTCCAGGGCCTCCCGCATTTTGTACTCAGCATACAAATTGTATAGGATTGGTGAAAGTACACAGTCCTGTCTGACCCCTCTTTTCACTTCAATCCATTCAGATTCTTCATTTCCCAATCTAACTTTTGTTTTCTGATTCCAATATACATCTTTAATGATCTTAATGTCTCTTTTGTCTAGTCCTAGGTTACAAAGTATTTCAAGTTGTTTATCATGCTGTATCTTATTGTGTCCTCTATCAAAAATCCTTTGTAGCAATCTTGCGTCCTTTAGGTCAACATATAAACCCTCACATCCGGCATAAGTGGCTAAGGCCATAGTTGAAAGCTTCTTTCTTATTGTGTATTCATTGTTCCTTCATTCTCACAGCAATCTCTTTTAGTCTCGCTGATGTATAATAATACATGGCTAATTCTGTCATCACACACAGGTACTGTGTAAATACCAGGAGAGTAAGAGTCATATAGTGTTATCATTTCTGACGAGTGAAAAAATTGTCAGTGAATGTCAATATGCTAACTGAACATTAGTTGTCCTGGCAATTTCTTTATAGATTTTAGAGTGTCCTATTATATGTAATTACCTTCAGTTGTTCCTCCTGTTGTATGGTTCTGTTTTCAGACTAGATATTGTTTTGTTAGTGTTTTAACCATAGAGGATAGGTATCCATATTGTATTGCCAATGACATAATCCATGACAATTCTGCTTCAATAAATTTTCTCAGCAAATTAAGGTGTTATGTTTTTTTTTATTTACGTATGCTGATTGAGGGTACTTCAATTTTTTTTGAACTTGGATAATTTGAAGTTGAAGAGACTGAAAAAAATTCTAATTATTGAAAAATCTGAAGTAGGCAAGTTTGAATATTAGCATTAAAATATGTAAACAAAATACAGATCTGTATAAGTAAATTAACAAACAATTGATTACAGTATTCATTATAATTAAAGTTTGAATCTTTGGATTGATTTTTAAAATATATTTTGCTTGTTAAAGTGAATTCCTCAAATTTATTGAGGGCCTGAAAGACATCTTTACTTATGTTTTCTTGTTATTCAATGAACTGCCTTAAAACTAAAAAAAATAAAATGTTTAAGTAAATTGAAACTAAGAAAGATGCTGAATACTATGTACTCTGGAATTTTCCAATAAATGTTACCAACATTAATACCTAAAACACATTTTATCTCAATATTGCAGGAACTTTTTGTAAACTCACAATTTTGCTTCAAATTAATCAAAAAGAAAAATTAAAGAGGAATTTCTTACATTCTGAAGGAAATTCAAGGGCCTGGAGGAAATATTTAAATTAACTATAACTTTGAATTAAAAATATTTGAATTATCCAAGTTTCACTTTCATTTAAAAATAGAAAAACAAATGTAAATTCAATATTTGATTGTTTACTGTTTTCTCAATCAGTTGTTTGTTCTTTGGAATTAGCACAAAATTGCTGTTGAGAACAAATCTTACAGGAAGACTCCTTTTTGATGGAAAAAATAGGTTTATCTATACTAATATTATAAAGAGGTAATGTTTGTATGTATGTATGTAAGTTTGTTTGCAGCAGGTAATCTCCGAAACTACTCATCCGATTTCAAAAATTCTTTCACCAATATTTAGAATGAACCTTCGGGGTGGACATAGGCTGTATATTATTCTGTTAAACAATCATATAAATTAAAATATATAATCTAGGTTAAGGCTTTTATGTCCAACAGGTGACACTACGAGTACAACGCCCTAAGTTTGCTTTTCTGCGAGGCATTATGCTTTTCTGTGAAAATGAACTAAAGCAGATCATCTTCTATCTAATTATATAAATAAAAATGTAATGTTCGTTTGTTCCTACCAATTCCTTTGAAATTTTGACACAACGCTGCATTCGAATACGCACGTGTTTTTATATAATATACGTGTCGAAATNAGATTTGTTCTCAACAGCAATTTTGTGCTAATTCTGAAAGACATACATCAAATGTAAACATATGCTATATTTATACAAAAATGTGACCTTAAGTAAAATTTTTCAGTATCCTTTAAAACTAGTAATATTTCATTTTGTATTTTAAACAATACTTCTGCATTTTTGTTTTTGCCAATTGGAGAATTTGAATACAATATTGATTTTGGCATTATTGAGAAAGCATTGAACATATTCTAATTTTTGTATACTATTAAACTAACATAATTATAAAATAAAAAAATATTTGGATTTTCTAGAATAAGGCATTTTGAAAAAAAAAAAGATTATTTTGTAATAAGACGTTATTACAGATTTCCAAATTTATATTGTCTTATGTACTCTAACTGAACTATCTAGTGAATTGATATACTTCTGTATAGTTTGAAAAATATTTAATTTTAAATTTAGAAATGCTAAATGCAAAATTTTGAAATAAAAATACAAAGCTAATGTGAATGTAATTGGCTCAAATCAAACTGCAAAAACATAATTTTGCAGTTTGATTTTATGGTCAATAGTCAAATATTATTGGCCATAAGATCTTTAGTTTGGGCATATGTCTGAAATGTGGTTTATTCTTAAATTTGTTCCTGCAACTGATTTAGTTTTTAAAACAAAAAATTAAATCCAAACAGTTTAAATGTGAAATTACAGAAAAAGAGGTTAGTTGTAATGAATTTTAGATATAATCTGAAGTTTTGAAAACATTGTTATTTAACCTTTGTAGAGAGGGTTAGTCAGATATTCTCTATCACAATGTGGTGGAGAATAAACGTGGAAAATTTTTAAAGAATTTTCCCAAGTTTTTTCGTTTCCATTTCAGAAAAAATTTTTTAAACAGTTACGTGTAGTAAAGAAAAAATCTCTCTTTATTGTCACATAATTTCTTTTTACGTGAATTTTTTTTTGCGGTAATTTTTGGCTAAAAGTTTTTTGCGGATATTAACATCATTCTCCAGTGCCACGTGATCACCCTTGATGGGTATATCCGTCGATCACTGCAGCATGGTTAAATGTATCTTTAATTCTTAAAAATAAACTGATTTTATGTGATACGGAATTGTTTTAATTTAGCAGTAGCTGTTTTCATCAAGAAAATGACAATGAATGTATTGACTTAACTAATATTATAATTGATGGCTATGCATGGCTATCTTCCTAAACTTTGCAAGTAGCAGATTCTCATAATTTTCTAGTTTAACTTTAAAAAATACGATAATTAATATGTCTTGGGAATTTTATTACTACTAAAAATGACTTTTTGAGAACAAAATTATAAGCTTTATGAATATAAATATTTTAATTTTTTATATACATGAAAAATGAATTATTATTATTTTTTTATTTTTTTTTAGATATTAGTGAAATAATGCAACGTGCAATATTTAGAAATTGTTTATGGCAGAAGACTTGTCCTTCTTGCTACTTCACTTATCAGGTGAACAAACATTCAAGATTGTTATCTGCTGCTTTTCCAATTCAATATTCTGTGAAAGCAAGTAACTATGTTGTGAAGCATCCCTCTCCCCCTATTTATGTGTCATCATACCATTCAGATTATTTTCACACTAGATTGGTGTATCCAGTTATTGGTTATCGAAGTTTGCATTTAACTCAATGGACCAAAGAGAAAGAATCATCTAAAGTAGAACAAACTGTCAAGGCTTTAAAAACTGAAAAGACTAAACAGGAAAGTTCCCCCGTCCTGACAGATGAAGTTAAATTGGCACAAATTCCACCAAAACGATCACTTTTGAAAAGAATTGTAGATGAAATAATACATTATTATCATGGTTTTAGATTGTTGCTTATAGATATTAAAGTATCAACAAGATTAGTGTGGAAAATACTTAATGGAGAAGATCTTTCTAGAAGAGAACATAGACAGGTAATAGATTTATTTTCAGTAATTTTTTTTTAAAATGTAAGATTATGTTTTCAGTATTTGGAGCATTTTTTAAACTTAATATTAAAATAAATTACATAAACTCACACAAAAATAATTTTGAAGAAACAGCAGAAAATTTAATAACTATAACATTTTCGAACTTTTTTAACATCCTGCTACCATTAGCATTGTTCCTACAAATCTTCAAAACCAACTTGCGATATGTTTTGGCCAGTGTAACCATTTAAAACTAAAACAGAGTTGTCTTGCAAATATAAATAAACTTACACAAAAATAACCTTGAAGAAACAGCAGAAAATTTAATAACTACGATGTTTTTGAATGTTATAGTTATTAAATTTTCTGCTCTGATTTAGTTTAAAAAGAAATTAATTTGATGTTTCATTATTACATTTCAAATAAAAGCATTATTAAAAAACTTGTTGATCATTTTTAATCTGATTACATTTTTATAAAAATTGATATTCAGATAAATCTCTTAAGTTATATTTGGTGTGACGAAGAAAAAAAACTGGTAAACTTTATCTTTTGTTTTTTCATCACACCGGATATAGGTTCTAGGAGTACGTTATTTGGAAATATTTCTAATGTCAGATAAAATCAGGAAAATATGTGACAGCATGATTTATTCAGGATTGAAGATGCATGTAGCACAGATACAATATGTAAATACATAGATAAATAGAACAATACAAATAGATACAATAGATAGCAGCATAGATTCTTCTTTTATATTTTAATATAGATATATTGAAGGAGTATTAAGTTTTATTAGAAACTTGATGATTACAAAATGTTCAAACTATTATAGCAAACATTTAGAGAAATAGCAATGGATATTCTAAGACTATTTGTGATATTTTCTTTTTAAAATTGATTGTACTATTTTTGGTAATGATTAAATTGATCATTAATGGACACATCAACAAAACTTTATTGATATATTAATTCATAGAAACCTACATTTGATTATTAAAGATATGCTAATTAAAAGAACCATCTTCAAGTGTTACACATAAAATTTGATTATTCAACCAAGTACTTAACCTGGTTATTTAACATCTTGTTATAAAAATTTAATCCTATTGATGATAAATAATAAAGCTTAATGAAAGTGCTTGGTTTTATTTTCTTTTATATAAACAAACATTATGTGTGTTTGTTTTCTTTAAAATATATCCACTTCTGTTGGTTATTGATTATCCAGGTGTAATTATCTCTAATTTCTAACAATATTGTGATCTATCAGACCACAAATTGCACTAGAAAAAATAATAATTATCAAATATAGGTTCTTTTTAACAATAACATCATTACATACACAAAATATGTTGTTGATATCCTGCAAAAGCTGGAAAATAATATAACACTCAAAGACTATGGATATATGAACAAGTTCATATATAGTCTTAGATTAGAATAAAAATAATAAAACACACCTTTAATAATCCAGCCAATAAAAATTAATAATGTAAAAACGTTTTTGATCTTTTCTTAACGATCTTCTTCAGTTACCATAACATAGAATAAAATCGAATAACTGAAGAAGATCGTTAAGAAAAGATTGAAAACGTTTTTACATTATTAATTTTTATTAGCTGGATTATTAAAGGTGTGTTTTATTATTAGTATATTTATCCAGTTCGTTCGTTATATAAGATTAGAATAAAGTTTAATTTTAAGATAAAGGACTGCCTCATCATTGTTCTAACAAAGACACCTTCTGTACTGATTTCAGAAGGTTTGTTTGTTTGGGAAAAATAAACATTTTTGATCAGTTTCAGAAATCCTTGTCAGATTATTATACATTTCCATAAATATTCCTTGGGATTTAATGACAACATCTATGGCCTCTCTTTGTAGATTGAGCAAAAAAGCTTTGTCCAAGTACACTTTATTGATGTAGACATTACTTACAACATGGGTGGTTGTTAATTAATGAAGATGTTTCAAAAAAGTTCTTATTCTCTGCTCTTTATCCCCATACAGTCACATGATTCTTTCACTTATAAGATCATAAATTTTAGGGCTCTTATAAGAAGGGTCTAATGCATTGTTCATCAACATGTGATAGGGAAGAAGAAACTTGTTACATCTCAAGTTTAGCCAAGAAGTATGGATATCCTTTGGCCTAATTAATGCTTTTATTTTACATCAAGGACAATGCTCAAGTTACAACCAGACAACAGGTCCTATATGGTAGTTACTATAATAAGATTCTAGCTAACATTTACCAAAAAATTTCCTTCACAAATACCAAGATTGTATCCAGGAGATGTCCTACTGTTTTTTTGAGGCTCAGAAATGATAAAGACCCAATAAGAGATGTGATTTATGCTGGGATCTATTGATACATCATCCTGGTATATGATCACAAAGTGAACTGTCCATGTGAATATGGCTAGTTTCATGGCTGATACCTATGTTCAGGTTGAGTTTGATAAAGCATGTCTCTTACACCACTCTGACAATCCTGCCCTTCTCAAATATACTGAACAGATCAGAATAGACAAAGCCTTCAAAAGGGACCCAATAGTTAATTATAAGGAAATGGACTCTATTTTGTCCTCATGGTGAGCATTATATGAGCTTGCATAGATCTTAGTAATATCTTACATTTTTAATATTTGTTATATATTGTAACGTCTTTTATTTTTAATAATTTTTTATATTGTTCAATCCATTATGTTGCTTCTGCAATGTACAGTACATGCACACATTCATGACTGTTCTATTTTTTTAAATTTGCAGTTACGTTCTATTTTTCAAACATACATTCAATTGTATTTTCATTTCTTCTAATCTGAAGATTTTTTGTTTAAATCAGAGGAAAGTTTTCATTTTCTTTAAAATACATCCATTTTTGTTGGTTATTGGGGTCTAGGTGTAATTATTACTGCATTATATTAGTATTATGATAGTGTGTTTGAGTAATTAGAGAGAACTAAATTGAATACAATTTTCCACTGGTATGTATATTATTGTATGATTTTGGAATTTGATTTATACTAACAAAAATTGTTCCTTGCTTCTAAATACAAAATTAGAATGTTATATGCTGCTAACTGGTGAAATGCATTGCACAGAAAATACTGTCTACAAATATAAACATCTGTAATCCTGATAGTTATATTAAAACCAAACAGTTGCTGAATTAGATTTGATTATTAAAACTACTGTTAATAATTAAATGCTAAGTAATTGGCATAGAGGTAGGGATTAGATGCCATCTCTTATTAAATTTAATAATTATAATTTAATTAATTAATTTTAGTAGTAATTAATTAATTTAATATAGCCTGATCTAATCTGATACTTGTTTATATTCACATATATATACACACCATGCCAGGGTAAAGTGATAACTGGATGAGTGCCTAATGCCTAAGAGATGGTGCCTAATGCCTACCTCTGGGCAAATTACTTAGCATTTAATTATTATTAGTAGCAATAATATAGCTCAATTTAATCCTGCAATCATTTGGTTTTACTGTTTTTTGATCATTATTATTAGTGATGAGACAATACCAAAATTTTTCCAATTCTTTTGAATACTTTCTAAAGTTTATTTTAGTTTAGAAAAATTAATAATTTACATTACGAGAATGGTACATTCATTAATTAATAAACATCAAACTTAAGAATGGAAAACAATTGGGAAATCCAGAATCAATCTTTTGAAAGAAACCTGAAAATTCTCCATTTATAAGTGGATATGTGTGCTTTTATTGTGTATTACAAAATAAATTTGTAATCTTATTTCATATAAAGTTAATATTGCAACACTACCTTCATAGAAATTACAGCTAATTCCCTTTTACTCAATGAACTATTCCATCACGTCATCTAGGGTCACCATTTTTGGAAACTGCTTCATTGGCAGACACAATGACCAGAGGAGGGGTGGGTAAACAAAAAGGTGCACTTTTTTTATGATTATTGCAATGGACATGTCTTGTAAATTATTTAACTCCACATTAAATATGATGGAATTAAATCATTTACAAGATATGTCTATTTAATACTAATGAGATTTGGAAAATAATGGAATGAACTGACCAAATATCATCACAAGTTAATTGATTTTTGGAATCATTCACTTGAGCCTGGAATGTCTAGACCGACTCCTCTTGAAAGAAACATTTTTAAAACTCAAAATGGCATTAAACTTAGTGCGAACCAGTATTGATACTAATGATACTTAAATATAGATGAACTCCATTTATATGTTTTTCAAGGGAATTGAGAAAAATATTGTATAAGTGAGAAAAACATACAAGTGAAACTACTTTTGAATATTACAAACTATGGATCAGTTACAATATGGATTAATCCAAAAATACTTTGTAAAGTTAGATAAATAATGTATTTTCAATTCCTAATATAAACAGCCACATTTGAATATTTCTGAATTGTTTTCAGAATGAATAGACTGGTAGTCATTAATGTGTACTGTACAACTAAATTTGTACATGTAATTCTTAACAAAGAAGTTTCAATTTACTGTAAATATAATACATTTGAACAACATATAAAAGGAAAAGTAAAACAGTGTAAAATTATGTCATGTATTTTTAATATATTGACTAAGTTTTATTTCTTTGATTTTTTTTAACCTGGCAGTTGGCACACTGTTCTTTCTTATAAACTAAGTCACCCCACATTAAAAATGATGTAAAATAAAAATAATACAAAAAATTTGTGCTTAGTAAATACATACTGTATTTTAATGCATGTATGATAAACTTAACGTTTAAAAGAAACATTTTACATATTTAATAATAATGCATTATTTAACATTGCTCATGCAGTGCAGGCACACATATTTCAAGTGTTTTAGACTCAGATTTTTTGCAGTTTATGCAAAACATGTTTTAGAGATGGTTTTTTTCTACCATTTAGCTTGCCCTTCTCTGCCCATTCTACTATCACTGTTACCTTTTCTTTCTCTCAGTGCCATGATCTAAAATGTGATTCTTTTCTCTCTCACCTGTCTTACAACTTTCATCCTTATCACTTTTTTAGAACCCTACTTTAGAAGTTTGTGTAAATCTAGAGAAAATAGTCAAAAATTAAAAAATGTTAATAAAATTAACAAAAGAAATATAATGATATACTAGATTATAATTTAAGAATACCCAAGCTCAACATCAGAGTAAAAACTCATAAAACTATTGAAGTCTATAGATCATTAGTGGATTTAAAATTCTATATATTATACAATTAAGAAAAATACCTCAAAAATAAATTAAGCCAATTTAATAATTCCCCTAATAGTATTATAAACTCTAATTAATTCATTGATAACGTTAAAAAATATACCATAACAAAAAATGATTAAGATGTTGAACCTTGATATCAAAATCATGTATCCATCAGTATACAAAGAATTTATAATTAATACCTTTAAAAGTTTAAAATATAGCAACTGGATAATTCAGTTAGTAAAATTTGTTTTACTTAATGATTATTTTATTTGTAATGGTGAACTTTTTAGCCAAATGGATGGTATCTTTTTGGGCTCTTGTTTAGGACCAAAACTTACAGATCTATGCATGATTAAAATAGATAACTTTATCAAAAATCTCCGTAGAGTCACATTTTATAATAAGTATGTTGATGACTGCTTCCTATCTACAATAAAAACTTAACTAGTACACAAATAATTCTAGATAATGTTAACAATATTCAAACTAACATAGACTTTAAAATAAAATTATAAAAAAAAAACAATGGCTTTTTAAAGTTTTTAGACATAACAATCAAAAAACTTCACAATTCACTAACATTCAGTAAATACAGCATGTTAAACCATGCAATGTAGGAAAAGTCATCAACTATCATTCTAATGCATCCACGTATATGAAAAAAAAAACTTTCAAACATACATTCAATTGTATTTTCATTTCTTCTAATCTGAAGATTTTTTGTTTAAATCAGAGGAAAGTTTTCATTTTCTTTAAAATACATCCATTTTTGTTGGTTATTGGGGTCTAGGTGTAATTATTACTGCATTATATTAGTATTATGATAGTGTGTTTGAGTAATTAGAGAGAACTAAANTTTTGGTTGCTATGCCTTGACTTTGGTCTGGCATAGTATACAGCCACCGGTGTGAACCGAGTATAACTCACTAAACAAAAAAATAATAATAATAATAATCTAAATATATAAAATTACTTTGTCCTGACTGACTGACTGAGTGATTGATTCATCATCGTTCAGAGCAAACTGCTGAACCTAAAGAAGTGAAATTTGGTACACAGGGTATACCATGAGAATGTACGCCACACTAAGAAGGGATTCCGTGGGGGGGAGAGGGAGAGGATTAAGGCTTAACCTCAAGAACAGCTTCTACTGTACTGTTTTAGATGCAACTTTTGTTTTCAACTATATTTAAGTCTTCATTGAGTACTTAGGTGTATTAACTTGATAACATTTCAGACATTGTTCTAAATATTTTTATGTATTTCAATTTTTTAACCAAATGTTCGAACTGTTTTAAATTCGAATTTGTTATTGCATAATGGTTCGATTACAGAACAATTATAAACGTTCCAGAAAATTGATCAAATTGAAAACAGTTTGTTTGATTCTCATCATTCTCAAGGTGTTATATAACAATTACTATGGTTGTTGAAATACTGAATATAAATGGGGTTTGCCTGCAAAATCTGTGCAGGTGAAGTTGTGGGTAACAGCTAGTAATAAATAAACAAAAAATTTTGGGGTTTTGCTCGTTTGTCTTTGTTGGTCCCTTTATCTCATCTAGTTTATCATTGTGTTCTTTTGCGTTTCGTACTGTCTGTCTAGCTGTTAAGTAGTTTTAAGATTTGCAATTTTGTTCAGTTTTATTAGTATTAAGTAGATATAAGTCTTCCTACTAACAGCCACTTGGCACTAACTTCTACACTTAGCTATTTGTGGCGGCATGCAATTATTGGTGCTCACTACACTTAGGTTTTCTTTTAGACCCTTCAGAGGCTATGGCCTTGCAGTCTAAAAACTGCATGTCAACATCAAACGTAGAGAGTACTGTAGCCTTATGTACATCATTCAGAGGGATCCTATCTTTCTCTACTGTCTATTTCCTCTCCCTTCTTCTTTCCCCCCTTTCCCTTACCCTCTTTTCTGCTGGCTAAACACTTTGTGTATGGCTGATGTCTTTCTTGTATGTATGTATATGTTCTATAATTATAGCAATATTTGTAAAAGTTTGTAATTTTAAAATAATCTTTATTTGTCCCCATATGAGATTGATGACCCTTATTTTAATTTTGTTATATATAAATTAAAAATAATATCTAATATTTTGTGTGTGTTATTTTGAGAGAAATAATTTTTAATTGTAATTGTAAGTTTCTGTTATTGAGTTGAGTTGAAATTTAAAACACCAGTTTCCATGTATGCTTTATTTAAGCTTAAATTCTAGTGTTGAAGCTTTATCAAAAATGGGTGTTACATTTTAAATATATGAAATAATAATACAACTGTTAAAAATATATTAAATAAGAATTGATTGATAAATACTTTCAATTAAATAATTTAATTGAAAGTATTTATTAATAAAAACTTATTTGATCTCTGTTTATTAGTTATGGTGATAATAATAATAATTATTATTACTTCATCAGATGTAATACAATTTTCATCATTTTCTCAACACACTGAACATAATTAAATTCTAAGATTCATGCAAAATTATTATTGTTAACAAAAATAGTGCAAAACATAACTATAATAATTAATCATATTTTACTTAAAGTGTGTGTTATTTATTTTTAAATTGTTTTAATTGCTAAATCCTTAATAAAAGATTTAATAGAATTCGTTTTTATTTTATAGCTTGTTCGCACTGTTTCAGATTTATTTCGAATTTTGCCTTTTTCTGTATTTATAATTGTTCCTTTTATGGAGATATTGCTTCCTGTTGCAATCAAATTGTTTCCTAATATGTTACCATCGACATTTGAAACAAGATCTGAAAAGGTAGGCATAAAATTTTAACTTTGTTTTGTAACAAAATAAATATATGAATTTACCTAAGACTTGTGATAAGATGATATTTAGAATAATACAAACTGTAATAATAAACTCTGTATTAGTGATAAAACTGAATAATGAAAATAATACAGTTTTTTCAATATATATTGAAAATCTTCATACTATAAAAAACTTGACATCATGATTATTTATTAAATTTTCTAACAACTGCTTTTTATGGAAACCAAATCTTTATTTTACAGAAAGAACATTTTCAGCTCCAATTGAACCATCTTCATTTTCAAATACAAATATTTTACATACTTCTCTGAATTTATTATTTAATATTAGAACAAAAAGTTTTGAATCCCTATAGAAAAATACTTTCTTAGAGTTCATTATAGAATAAATATATTTTTCTGTATGGATTTAAAACAAAACCATCCTGAGCCAAATCAAATAAGGTAGCCAGTATAGTGACTTCTCTGTCATCCTGGATGCCTTATCAGTCATTCCAGAAGTGCTTATGCCATTCAAAGAGTTGCATTTAGCTAAGGTAGACCTGCATAATTGCTTGAGGCATTTGTGACTAAGGGAACTTTTTCCATCACTACAAATTTGATAAGGTGATGCAGCTCTATTCTTTGTGATTCCTTTTTCTTCTCAAAAAAAAAAAAATTTGAAGTGTGGTTAGTATGTCTTGCAAAACATGTTCCAGCTTCTATACTTCTAATGGTATAAAATGAAACTGTGAAGAAAATTGTTATTCACTATTCTATTGAATGAATCCATCCACACAAGTGCTGTCTTTTACCATTGAGCTACCAAAACATTAATTTGGTTGACACATGATCGCATGTTATATAGTTACTCCTCTGTTTGTTGCTTCTTACAGTTGTATTTAGTTAATAACATTAGAAGATTGCATCATTCTAGATCAGGGGTCACCAAACTTTTTCACAGTGGGCCACAAAACTGAGAGAATGATGAGTGTGGGCAAAATTCTGTGTTGAACAATCAGATGGAATTTATTACAATCTGTTAATTAGAATTTACTTTTTTGCATTTATAGTTGCAAAAATTTTGAAATTATTTAGTATATACAGGCAGTTCCACTTTTGGACATAATGCATTGCTAAAAAATGTACACAAGTTGAAAATCTAAACATGAAGAGTGTTATAAAGAATATTTCCCCAGAGAGCTAAAAAAAATTATAAAATATCTTGTTAAGGTAAAACTAAAACTAATGGAATACATCAGTTTATGATAGCTTGGTATATGAGAAGTAATTTAAGTTATCAAAGTATTATGTATGAAAGAGTGAGTTGTCCTAAAGTCAAATGTCCAAAAGTGGAGCACCTCCTGTATTTGAGAATAGTGTATAACTGTGTTACTATATTTACATTATAATCTTTATTTGAATAATAATTCTGTATATTTTTCCATACAGGAATTGAAAATGAAGAAAGAATTAAAAGTAAAATTAGAAATGGCAAAATTTCTTCAACATACATTAGATGAAATGGCATTACACAGAAAAGGTGATAAACATTCACACACAGCAAAAGAATTTGCACAGTTTTTTGAAAATGTAAGAAAAAATTTTTATTCAAAATATTGGTTGTTTAAATAATACACTAAGTCGTAAAAAATTATATTGTAAAATTATATACTTTATTAATTATTATACATTAAATATTGTTTCATTTATTTAGTGTTTCACATAATTAAATAAATCAGTTATTTTTTTACATTAAGAATTTAAGAAATAGAATGAAAATAAAACAATATTATAATGATTTATGTTTTGTAAAAACTCCAAATAAAACTAATTTTCATTTGAAAAATAAATAAGAGAGTCTAATAATATGTTGAAAGTTTAATGGAAGAATAAATGCTTTTGGATAATCTTTGATTCATCTTTGTATTTATATATTTGAATACAAATGGATGACAGAGAGGAATTTGAAAACCAGAAAAAGTACAGAAAAGTTAAAATTAAATTGCTGATTTATATTAAAATAAATAATAAGTGTAAAAAATAAATTAAAATTTAAGTATAGCTATTAACAGGGAACTTTCATACTGATAATAGATGGGATCTTTGAAATTATAACATTATTATTCAAATATTCAACATTGTTTTCCATCTTTCATCCATGTTGATTGATCCTATTACAAATCAGACCTGCTATAATGGACATAATTATATCAAACAATTTAGCTTATGATGCACTGATGCTTCACATTAATTAATCTAATTTGCATAATGTAAAGTTTTAATGGCTAATTGAAATAATCAGATTAACTCAGCCATCCAGATTATAAAATTGAACCTGTAATATGATGAATAAAATTAGACTAATAAATATTTTAAAATTTAGATTAGAACAACAGGAAAGCAGGCTACAAATGAAGAAATAATGAAGTTTTCAAAGTTATTTGAAGATGAAATAACGCTTGATAGTTTAGATAGACCTCAAATAACAGCTCTTTGCCGTTTGTTGGAATTACAACCAATTGGCACAAATAATTTTCTTCGATTTCAACTTAGGATGAAATTGAGAAGTTTGAGAGCTGATGATCAGGTACTTGTTTTTACTTTGTTAAATTTATTTTTAATAAATAGTAAAAAATTAATAAGTAATAATTTGCAGATGATTAAAAAAGAAGGAATTGAAACACTTACTGTGCCTGAATTACAAGCTGCTTGTAGGTCTAGAGGTATGAGAGCTTTAGGAATGCCTGAAGATCGACTTAGATCTCAATTACAGCAATGGCTAGAATTAAGCTTAAATGAGGAGATACCTCCATCTCTTCTTCTTCTATCACGGGCATTATATCTTCCAGAAAATCTTCCAGCAACAGAACAACTTAAAGCTACAATATCCACTTTACCAGATGTTGCTGTAAGTCAAATTTATTATATTCATGGAACATACTGTTATTTTAATTAATAGATTTATTCAGAATCAGAAAAAGTTTATTGTCTATTGGGAATTACTTCCCTATTACAAGGGGTTGTAGTTTCATGTGTCCATATTTATCTTTAATAAAACAATATTTTTTCATCAATTATTCAATTTGCACTTATTACTTGCGTACATATTCACATATTCTTTCATTTNAATACCAAAATTTTTCCAATTCTTTTGAATACTTTCTAAAGTTTATTTTAGTTTAGAAAAATTAATAATTTACATTACGAGAATGGTACATTCATTAATTAATAAACATCAAACTTAAGAATGGAAAACAATTGGGAAATCCAGAATCAATCTTTTGAAAGAAACCTGAAAATTCTCCATTTATAAGTGGATATGTGTGCTTTTATTGTGTATTACAAAATAAATTTGTAATCTTATTTCATATAAAGTTAATATTGCAACACTACCTTCATAGAAATTACAGCTAATTCCCTTTTACTCAATGAACCATTCCATCACGTCATCTAGGGTCACCATTTTTGGAAACTGCTTCATTGGCAGACACAATGACCAGAGGAGGGGTGGGTAAACAAAAAGGTGCACTTTTTTTATGATTATTGCAATGGACATGTCTTGTAAATTATTTAACTCCACATTAAATATGATGGAATTAAATCATTTACAAGATATGTCTATTTAATACTAATGAGATTTGGAAAATAATGGAATGAACTGACCAAATATCATCACAAGTTAATTGATTTTTGGAATCATTCACTTGAGCCTGGAATGTCTAGACCGACTCCTCTTGAAAGAAACATTTTTAAAACTCAAAATGGCATTAAACTTAGTGCGAACCAGTATTGATACTAATGATACTTAAATATAGATGAACTCCATTTATATGTTTTTCAAGGGAATTGAGAAAAATATTGTATAAGTGAGAAAAACATACAAGTGAAACTACTTTTGAATATTACAAACTATGGATCAGTTACAATATGGATTAATCCAAAAATACTTTGTAAAGTTAGATAAATAATGTATTTTCAATTCCTAATATAAACAGCCACATTTGAATATTTCTGAATTGTTTTCAGAATGAATAGACTGGTAGTCATTAATGTGTACTGTACAACTAAATTTGTACATGTAATTCTTAACAAAGAAGTTTCAATTTACTGTAAATATAATACATTTGAACAACATATAAAAGGAAAAGTAAAACAGTGTAAAATTATGTCATGTATTTTTAATATATTGACTAAGTTTTATTTCTTTGATTTTTTTTAACCTGGCAGTTGGCACACTGTTCTTTCTTATAAACTAAGTCACCCCACATTAAAAATGATGTAAAATAAAAATAATACAAAAAATTTGTGCTTAGTAAATACATACTGTATTTTAATGCATGTATGATAAACTTAACGTTTAAAAGAAACATTTTACATATTTAATAATAATGCATTATTTAACATTGCTCATGCAGTGCAGGCACACATATTTCAAGTGTTTTAGACTCAGATTTTTTGCAGTTTATGCAAAACATGTTTTAGAGATGGTTTTTTTCTACCATTTAGCTTGCCCTTCTCTGCCCATTCTACTATCACTGTTACCTTTTCTTTCTCTCAGTGCCATGATCTAAAATGTGATTCTTTTCTCTCTCACCTGTCTTACAACTTTCATCCTTATCACTTTTTTAGAACCCTACTTTAGAAGTTTGTGTAAATCTAGAGAAAATAGTCAAAAATTAAAAAATGTTAATAAAATTAACAAAAGAAATATAATGATATACTAGATTATAATTTAAGAATACCCAAGCTCAACATCAGAGTAAAAACTCATAAAACTATTGAAGTCTATAGATCATTAGTGGATTTAAAATTCTATATATTATACAATTAAGAAAAATACCTCAAAAATAAATTAAGCCAATTTAATAATTTTCCTAATAGTATTATAAACTCTAATTAATTCATTGATAACGTTAAAAAATATACCATAACAAAAAATGATTAAGATGTTGAACCTTGATATCAAAATCATGTATCCATCAGTATACAAAGAATTTATAATTAATACCTTTAAAAGTTTAAAATATAGCAACTGGATAATTCAGTTAGTAAAATTTGTTTTACTTAATGATTATTTTATTTGTAATGGTGAACTTTTTAGCCAAATGGATGGTATCTTTTTGGGCTCTTGTTTAGGACCAAAACTTACAGATCTATGCATGATTAAAATAGATAACTTTATCAAAAATCTCCATAGAGTCACATTTTATAATAGGTATGTTGATGACTGCTTCCTATCTACAATAAAAACTTAACTAGTCCACAAATAATTCTAGATAATGTTAACAATATTCAAACTAACATAGACTTTAAAATAAAATTATAAAAAAAAAACAATGGCTTTTTAAAGTTTTTAGACATAACAATCAAAAAACTTCACAATTCACTAACATTCAGTAAATACAGCATGTTAAACCATGCAATGTAGGAAAAGTCATCAACTATCATTCTAATGCATCCACGTATATGAAAAAAAACATCTTTAACATAAATATTAACAAAATTAAATGCACACTAATGTTATGACAAGAACAAGAGGCAATCAAGTACAAATAAAATATTCTGTTTATATAAGTTTATAATGCCAAGTTGTCCATTTTTGGATTATTTGTGTCTGTGATTAAACTCTGTTATTAACAAACAAACAATATTTATTTTTTGTAAAATTTTATATATGTAAAAAAATGTTTAATGCCTTTTACAAATATTTGAAAATAAATTATATAATTTAAACCTTTCCAATTTACTTAGTAAGTTCAGTTGTGTTCTATAATTTCAGTCTAAATTCGGTTAGTCCTAGTTGTAAGTTATATTAGGGACTCTTAACTTGGTTTCTGGTTAGGTTAACATAGATTAGGGTCTGTTAGCTTTAGTCATCTGGTTAGGTTCATCCTGGGTTATAATAGATTAGTTCAGTTAGTGAGTAAGTTAATGTTTTTAAAAAAATATAAATAAATACAAAAAAAAAAAAAAAA